TTTTAAATACTCTTTCGTACCCACCTCCATCAAAATTTTAAATAGATTCCATTTCATAACATGTAGATGAATACTGAACACTTATCTTATATAATTTTAATAATAATTTTATAAGGAGTAAGATCTACAGGTTGTGTGAGAAACCTGTTTTTGCAGCTTTAGTGACAGCAGCAGCTGATGGACTGATAGAGGACAATCCTCCCATTCCATGCCACTCAAGTATCTTTATATTTACAATTGAAAACTTTTTTTACCTTTAAAATCTGAGAATTTAAGAAAAGTAGATTCTTCTGTCCAGTCTTGTGTTTGTGTATATTTTGCAGTGACACTCATCACTTTTATTCAATCTAAAGCAACTCACAAACTCTTCAATGCTTAAATCGCAGCTGCATTGGTCCTAAACACTGCTCAGAGGGAAGAAACTTTTAGAAAATGTCATATCAAACATACACACTGCATCAGATGTAGCTGTACGTGAAATTCCACACGGATGGGCAATTAATGGTTAAAATAGAGCCTCCCTGCACTCAAAACACACTCAATAATGTAGGGCCTGAGCAGCCACCACTGTGAACGAAGCAGATATGTCAGAAATGGTGCATGGGTGTGGCAAAATTGCTGTTGAATTTAATAGATTAGTTTACATTAATTAAAAAAATTAAGGGGGAAATTCCTTTAGGGTCTTTTCCAAGCAGCTATTGATATATGCGATTGTTTGCCACCCATTAAGGTCTCCATGCCACCCACTTGCTACACCACGCTTGGCGTCAAATTTCGATGTGAAATGAAACATTAAGTTGTTGTAACTTTAGTGTACATGGCCAAATCTGCCCCAAACTGTACATATTAGACAAGAGTTCCAGCATGAACACATATACATGGCAATATTTAATCATAGCGCCACCTATTGGCAACAGGAAGTAAGCTTTCTGTGACAATCATCGTCCGATTTACATCAAATTTTCATGGTGTGGCCTGCACATATGCTGGAACTTGATTTATAATTAGTGGGTGTTCTCTAGCGCCACATAGTGGACACAACAAGTGACATTTAACACAGGTAAATTCAGAGCTATACGTCCACCAACCTCCAACAATCAATATGCAACTTACACAAGAGTGCATACACATGTGTCCGATAGGTAAACGTTTAAAATGAACAATATTTACATATTTATAAATTCTTTCAATGAAGGTGAAGGAGACTAAATATAATTGTAATACTTTTAAACAAGGTTAGATTTTCCATTTTGTTTGACCGGTTGTGTGACATCCCTCACATATAGTCAAATATCTTTGCATTGGATTTTTCAGTGAAAGTGAGGTGGTTATAATTTGAAGAATTTGTAACACATTGTTAAATGTTTTTGTGTTAAAACCATATTATATCACATACAAATTATTATTCTTACCTTTTATTTTGATACCCTGAGACGAGTCTACTGACCTTGAATACTGCATTTGAAGAAGTATTCCTGAATCACAGATGTTTAAACCTGTTATGTTAAATCACATAGTCAGTTTATCTGCAAATATTTCCCTTTCCTTTGGTTTTGGCACATGTATGTTCAAATGCTGTTGTAGGTATGTCTTTTGGACAATATCTTTATAATGAGATACTGAAACTTACTGATAGGGGGAAACAAACATAAAAACATGTTTTTTTTTTCTGCAAGGATATTGGATTTTGCTGCTCTTTATGCTTCTAACAATTCTTCAGTCCAGATTGTGTAGTACATTCACAAGAAAAAGGATCATTCACATATCTAGATTTTAAAATATTTCTAGTAATTGTAGGCTTTAATTTGACAGCAGTAGAAAAAAATATGAGAGGAAAGGAAGGGAGAGAGATATTGGGTATAAACAAAGATCAAAGCCCAATCTCTACAAACATTTCAGTTTTACAGGTAGTAAGATGTGACTCAGTCTCACTGTACAGTACTATTGATCTGCCATTAGGTATTTCTCTTTATATGATTAGAGCTAGAATAAAACGGTCAAAAGAAACTTGGACTGCTGTATCTACAACTTATAAAATATTCACTGTTAAACAGGGGCAAGAATTCAAAAGAAAGACATGGAACCATGTCAAAGGCTATAATCATGTCAACACTGAAGGGACAGATTTATGTGGCCTGTGTTTGCTTGCAGTAAATGATTTATAGAGGGAGGAGAAAGGGCGGTAGGACGAGGAACAGCAGGAGTCGAGAGACAACAATTTACATGACCGAGTCTTGACCAGGACCAAGAGTCAAATATGGGGTTCAGATGTGATTGAAGAAATCACAGCAAAACTTCCCAGAGGAAACATTGGATTTTATGTTAAACTACAATCTTCTGTTTTAACTAATGGCATCATTTGTAAGGGATTGTTTGTTCTGTTTGCTTCCATCGCTGCTACTTCTGCTGCTGTCTCTGACTCTCCGCTGGCCCAGGGCACGTTGTTGGACGAGGCTGGCAGTCAAGGCTGCAGGCTGGAGACTCTGGGTCTTTATTTGCCTGATTCTGAAGCTGCCACTAGACAGGAATACTAGAGCATGGACCAAGGAGACCGGATCACCAGGGACAGATGTTTTGTCTGGGTCAGGTCAGGCCTCAGATGGTCCCAAGCTCATCTGCAAACCCACTGCGCTGGCCAACTATCTTCTCCGGCACTGTGGCTCTCTTGCCAGGCCAAGACTGGCCTCCTGGCCCAGGGGAGACCCCCACCTCCAGACTCTGTCCAGCATGCTATGTGGACAACAAGGAGACACGTTACAGTTCACTAGAGACCATCTGTTATTAAGAGACGGGGGTATCGTTGCTCTGGACTGGGCTGTGGGAACAAGACTGGGTGAGGCGGCCGGGAGGAAGAGGTGGGAGGGGAGGAAAGAGCATCAGTCAGGGGGAAAGGCGCTAGGCTGCTTCACCACGACGCCTCCTGTCCTCCTCGTCATCCCTCAGTCCTGGGGAGGGATGACCCCCCACCTAAAGGTGCTGTGCCATCAGGCAGTGCAACAGGGCTTTTATGTGGTGGTGTTTCACGCTCGAGGCACAGCTGGGTGCCCGCTGACCACAGCCCGAATGACTGAGTTTGGAGACCCAGTTGATCTTGAGCAGGTAGAAAAAGATGGCAGGTGAACAGTCCTTTTTTAAAACCTTTTTGTTGTTGTCATGTTTATCATATGATATGTTTCATTATTGTATCCTCTAAAGTAGGGTGGCCAATGCATACCACAAAGGAAAAAACACCACTTTTTAATTTTAGGTTTTCCTTAATAAGCTACCATTTTACTTATCATGACTTTTAGGACTTAGAAATATGAAATAATACAAGAAAAGTACATTCATACTTTCCAAATTGGGAAAAACGTTATGTTCCCCATAGGCGGAAAAGACCTCAAGACTCCCTTGAAGATCCCCTCCAGACAAATATAGAAACAAATATACAAATACATAAATAGCGGGCTTGGAACAATAATGTGTGTATGATATCTTTTTTTCACCAAAAAGTATAATTTCCACATTAAAATATTTATAAAAGCATATATTCCTTCCACTTGATTAAAAATTCCATAATCCATCAATTAAATTTCTAATGTTTTCCTGCTGGACACAAGATGTCTTCTACTTTACTGTTTAAGTCCATTCTTCGTGTATGTGCACTGGTGCAGAAGTGTCAACATCACACTTCACACCAAACTCAAGATCCTTCTGCACAGTGAAGCTCAAACTACAGGAACAAGAAGAAAAACATATTTCTGCTTGGAGGACACCTTCAAAATGTCCACTGTTTAATGTGAATATCTAACCCTCTTTGTCTTCCATTTTCAGGTGGTGACTTTTGTCCACAGCCGCCACCCATCCTCTGTGCTGGTTGCTGTGAGTGAGGGTTCAGGCTCAGGGATTCTTCTTTCCTACTTGGGGGAGTCTGGATCAAGTTCACACCTGACAGCGGCTGCGGCCATCTCACCTGTACTCTTGGGCCAGCTGTGGTTTGAAACAGCCATGCCTCCCATTTATCACTGGGGGGTTTTGCTTCATCGGAAGCTGCAGCTCAGTAGGTGAGAGAAATGAAAGCAAAATCAAAATGTATTAAAAGTGGTTATAACACAAATGCCACATGGACAGGATCATAAAAATGTCTGTTGTTTCTCACTATGTTAAGATACGCAAGTTCCTTTAGAGGAGTCCTAGATGTGGATCGGGCCCTCAGATGTTCCTCCCTCAGACACTTTGAGGAAACTCTTTTCTGTTCTTCAGCTCAGCTTCAGCACAAGGACCCCAGACCTCCAATAAGCTCTCTAAATTCTGGACTGAGCTCAGGATCTCGTTCGCCTCAGGGCCTGGCACCCTCAGTGGCCTGGGCACTGGGCGAGAGGGCTTACCCAGCCAACAACTGGGACAGCTACTGGGAGAGGAATGAACCACTGAGAGATGCAGATGAGGTGGCGGTCCCTGTGCTTTGTATCTGCAGCCAAGATGACCCTCTACTTCCACCGGCATCCACTTTACCCGTTCCCCTTTTCCAAAGCAATCCTTATTTCCTCCTGGCGCTGACAGACAGAGGAGGGCACTGTGGATTCGCTCTGGAGAGCCAAGAAGAGATAGAGGGTGAGAGGACCGGAAATAAGGAGGCGGAGGACGGTAACTGGAGTCTTATTGTAGTCCTGGAGTACTTCAGAGTAGTGGCTGATTTCCTGAAAGGGGAGGAGAGGGAAGGGGCAAGCCGGGGTGGTCCAATAGGAGAATATATTCAGGCTGGGCAGAGGAGCAGGACCAACAACACGGCTAACCCTCGCAGGAGGAGAGCCACCATGATGAGAAGGCCAAGACCACAGGTCCCTGAGGAGAGCAGTGTAGATGCAGAGGAGGGGAACTTCACCTGGAAGAGGTCATACACACGCTGACGGGGGAAAAGACGGTGAAGGATTAGATCTGCAGAGAGAAATATTATCAACTTTGGACGATATTTTGCGTTTTTCCTTGATAATCTCGAGTTACGTCTGTAGCTGCAATGTATCAGCAGTATAAGTGCAGTGGACAACTGTTCAGAAAAATAAATCTATGGTAAAACATACATTATTCTTTACTGAGCCAAATTAGTAAAAGAGCCATGACCTTTTGGTAAAGACAATCAAAGACAACATGTTCTGCAAACATGGCTTCCCTGGTTTGAAATTCCAACAATTCTTAAACAAAGGAAAAGCATTTTGTATTCATCAGCATGTATCTAATTGTGCTACTTATTAAAAGGTGAAGGTTTTCAGGCAACATAGCTGCTGTCTGCTTAAAGAAAACCCCCGTGAGTCTACAAAAAATAGGTTATGCAAGATAAACATAATGCAGTTGCAGTCAAATACATGTGTTTTTGGAACTGTGCTTTAAACAAAACTGTAGTACGGTTTCAAAATTTGTATTACAACACCTCAGGCATTCATGACAAACTGTATAAAGTATAGGATGAAATTTTAAGCTTTAAATGAACTTTGTTATGCTCCTCACACACAAAAACACCAATGGACAAAGAAATATTAAAATTACTTTATTACAGATGATTCTTTATCCAGTAGCCCTCTTCCAACAAAAAATAGTAATTACAAACATAATATTACATGTATCCCCTAAACTTTGTTTCTGAATTTATTTTATACATTTTAAATCACTTTATCATCTGTAAGGAATAGCTTTTTCTCTTCTGCTATGCGACATTCAGCTTTTTGCACAATCTATACAATTTAATACAGTTTAATACAGGTCTCTGGACTACGGAGAATAAAACAGTAAGATCGACCAAATGACAGGGGGAGATAAAGGGAATACTGATACACAATACTGTACAGAGACGTAACCCTGCCCTCCGCCTACTTTCAGCCAATGGCAGCTGTCCCTCAGCACACTGAGGGGGATCACAGTAGACTCTTTAATCTGGTCAATCACTTGTGCAATCAGTGCAACTGATCCAGTTCAGAGTGACCAAGGTCTAAAGCTAGACTCTGCCCCGACTGCCTCGCAACAAAACACCTGAAAGTTCTAGTAAACACAACAGAAGGTCTAAAAATCATTTGGCCCTCTGCAGACATCATCTGGAAAATAAAGCAACCCTTTCTGGCATAAAAGGAAATAAAACACTACAGAACTGAAAAAAAAGTTTGATAAAAAGATGTTGGGTACTATGGCATACTGGCTGAAGTGGGACCACCACATCCTGGTTTTTAATTTTTTTTGTTCTTGTTTTTTTTTGTTTTGAGAACTGAGCCAACAAAACAACAGGGTTATGAGTTCTGAGTGCAGGGTGGTAAGAAAAAAAACAAACAAAAAAGGCAAATACTTAAGTGCAGTGTGAAAATGCTTTGTCTATAACCACAACAAAAAGAAAGGGTGCATGTTTCATAAATCAGAAATAAAAGTCCAAATAATATCAGTGGACCCCACAACACCTAAGAGTAACCCTTCGTAGATATCAAACAACAGATATATTTTCACTGTCTTGTGCAAGAATTTGGAAACATTTTCAGGTTTGTGGAGTGCACCAAGTATTGTTAATGCAGCCAAATATTTCAGAATTCAGCAGTTTTTCAGATTTTTAAAAGATCATTGAAAGACATTTATTTCTTCTATGTTATAATAACCTTACCTTTATGTCTAAATACCATGAAAAACCTAAATAGACAGGTTAAGTCCACTATTTTGGGTATCATGTCAGTAAAATATAGCCATTGCTAAAGCAAAGGCTACACCTAACTACATTTCAGATTCTGTGCAAAAATCATCCTCATTCAGCATCAAACAAAAAAATATTGCCATTTACTCAAGGCAATCTAGAGTTGTGTTATCATTCACAACAGAATTCCTGTAACACGTTTCAGAACTCGCAGTTGCAAGTAAGACAGTGAAAACCCAGCAGCTGTATATTTGTTCATTTGAATGCCGCTGGTCTAAAACCACGTCACTGTGTCCGCATCACAACAGGTTAATTTGTCTTTGATTTGTCAATTAGATTTACATATTTTCAAATTCAAAATATACATTATTAACAGTTTCCTGTACATTCCACCTCTGAAATTCATATAATGCATAATCTCTGCATTTCAGACTAAGACTTCCACCTTTAGCTCTATAATCCTTCTTTTTTTAATCATAGATTTCTATACATATATTTTCTTCTCTTCTTTCACTTGATGAGCTCTTTCCAAATAGATCAGGGAGGAGGTGACGACTACACCAGGCTCAGGAGGGGAGGAAATGGAGGTGGAGGGAGACGAGGGGGAAATCGGTGGTCAGAACATGACATCGGGGTCAGCAGGGGTGAGACAGAGCGGGGTGTCAGACTGGGGGATGGGTGCAGGGGCATGGCAGCGGAGATCACAGCATCACCGCCCATCCGCCCACTAAGACAGACATTCAGCAGTCACCAACCAGCGGAAGGCGAGTGAAGCTCCTCTTATCACGCTCCCTGCTCATCCACTATCTCTTTTCTTTTTAAAAATCAAAAACACACAGGGATATTTTTAGGAAACCGATATGTATATCGTTGCCTCCACACAAACGCTGCTCAGTGATGCAACTCGGCTAACAACTGCTAATTGCACTATTTTTCTTTTTTTTTTTTTTTTTGTCCCAAATCCCATTTTCATAAAATTTACCCACGTACATGCATTCATCAGCCAAGTGTGCAAAGGGATATACTGTCAAATTATTAACTTTTGTATGTATGTGTGTGTAAATATGTCCGATTAATATTCAGTGTGGAGTAGAAGGCCTGTGCCGAAGTGCAAGTCATTGTCAAGTCACGAAACCCTGTGGTGAAGCTCTACTTGAGTTTTCTTGAGGTAGGCCAACAGGCATCGTTCGATTTGTCGGAGAAAGTAATTTTTCTGTTTTGTTTTGTTTTTTTAACTGCGAAGTTCCTCACTTTCACTGACTAACACGGCGCCAAATTTGTCCTGGAAATGACTGCAAACAAGCGTAGAGTGAACAACAGTTCTGAAACGATTAAAGTAGGAGGTTAGGCGCTGCTGAAAACCCATCCCTGTCGTGAGGGCCGTCCGCCTGGGCATGTGTGGGTGAGGTGCAGAGGTCTGTGGAAACCCAAGAGCTGAGCCTATAAGGCCGAGTGTGCACGAGAAATGGCTCCAGTAACAATTGCATCTACTTGGCCGCATGGTATTATTCTAAATCATCATCTCTGGCACAATCTCATTAAACACGCAACAGTATGTTGGCATGGATAATTAAAACGACTTAACAGGTTCTGCACCCTTACCTTTGGCATCTTTGCAGCCCTGCTCGCAGCACACAATAACTCCTAACTTCAAGTACTACCAAATTGTGTGGAATTGAGGACTGATAGTACGTGGTTTTTTTGGTTCGGTAAAACACTGCACCAGGTGATTTCACTGGTTAGACTTCCTCCCTGGAGGAGGATAAGCTCCATGACAGCTGGAATGACAGATTGCGAACTTTCAGCTATTCGTCACACCTTAGCCCTCCTTGTGCTATGACTTTAAAGTCAGAGATACCCACGATGCTCACTTACAACAACCTTCGTTCTCTTTTCGTTTTCCTTCTAGACGTGTCGAACCTGTTCTCAATCTGCCTGTTCTTCAGTCATCTGTCTTAAATCAGACCCATGCGTGACTTCCTGCATTTCCATTTTCCCGTAACTGCACATAAACAATAATCTCATTAAACTGTGTCCTTCAGTCTGTGCTTAAATCTTGAGCTGTGACGTAGTTTGAAGGAATTTGAACAAGGACAACTTTTTAAATGTTTTTTTTTTTTTAAATTTGGTAACTTGAATTCAAATTTTCCCATGATGCACCTTATTGTGCTACCACAGCATCTGAAAGCATCAGATTGACCCTGCATATGTATAAAACAGTATACTGCACCAACTCTAGATAATAAACTCCATGATAGATAATATGAATATACTACTTTGGCTATGGCAACAGAGACTAACATGGCAAATATATAACACTTAAAATAGCACTGTAGGCTAAAGTAAAAAATTACACTATTGCACTCTAGCATACTGTATATGGCCCTCAGCCATCTTGGATGAGTCTCAAGACTTTTGGGTTTCCACAAACTGCTGCTAGCAGTACACTGATGTATGAGAGCAGTGGTGATGGGAGAGAAACTGGGCTGAAGTAAACCCAATCTCAATACTGTGCAAGAGTGTGTGTCAAGACATCAACAAGTGTATGTAAAGTATGTGCGGTGCATGCATGGTGTGTGTGTGTGTGTGCAGTGTTAGCTCACAATAATGTTCCTTCAGGACAATTATTGTGTTGCTTGTGTGAG